AATATATGTACACCCATGTTTGTAGCAGCACTATTTACAATAGCTAAGATCTGGAAACAGCCCAAATGTCCATCAGTAGATGAATGGATAAAAAAAAGTTGTGGTACATATAAACAATGGAGTACTATGCAGATGTAAGAAAGAACAATCTCCTATCCTTTGAGATGACATGGAGGGTCCTGGAATGTATTATTCTAAGTGAAACAAGCCAAACAGAGAAGGACAAGTATCATATGATCTCACTTATTTGTGGAATATAATGGACATAACAGTCTGAGGAATGGGGTAGTCCCAGAGACGTGGAAATGGGGTACTGACTGACAATCCCAAGAAGAGGGGATGGTGGGGGAGAGATAAACCACAGAACTTATATGCATGTGTGCATGAACAATGTACATGAACAACAAAGCTGTGGGGAGGGCAGTGAGGGATGGGGCAGATGTATCATTGTGGGAAAAAGAAGAAACATCTGTAACAAAAATTAATATATTGCCCTGGCCGGTTTGGCTCAGCGGTTAGAGCGTCCACCTGCGGTCCGGAGAGGCCCGGGTTCGGTTCCCGCTAAGGGCACGTACCTCGGTTGCAGTTTGTCCCCGGCCCTGGTTGGTCGTGCGGGTGGCAGCCACTCGATGTGTCCCTTTCACATCGATGTTTCCCTCTCTCTCTCTTCCACTCTCTCCCTCCCACTCTGTCTGTACAAAAAATGGAAAAATGTCCTCGGATGAAGATTATAAAAAAATAAAATAAAATAAAAAATTTAATTTATTAACTAATTTTTAAAAAGAAAACTAAAAAGTCTGAGATAAAAAAAACACATGAAATATGTATAATAAAATGGACCATAATTTAAATTATACAAAGCATGAACTCTAACCACAATTGAATTAAAATAACAGAAAGACATAAGAAAAGTCTTCAAATATATGGTCACTAACACAAATCTAAATAAAACATGGGTCGGTGAAGAAATCAAAATAAATATTTTAAATATTTTCAAATAAGTGATCATTAAAGCACATGTCAAAATATCTTGGAAGCAGCTGAAACAGCATTTAGAGGAAAATTTATAACACTAAAATGCCTCTGTGAAAAAAAAAAAATCTAATAAATTTTCTCAACTTTTCCTTCAATATTAGATGTAAAGAAAAATCAATCAAATCTAAGTAAACAGAAAAACTAAAAATTGTCATAGATATTGATTGAAATGGAAGAGAAAAACTATAGATAAAAGCTGTTTCTTAGAGAAAATCAGGAAAAAAAAAAGAATCCACAAAATGTAAATAGAGTTGACCCTTGAACAACATGGGTTTGAACTATGAGATTTCAGTTATATGTGATGTTTTTGTTTTTAAATACCTGTACTGTTTTCTGTCTTTAGTTGGGAGTCCTTGAATTCGGGAGTGACTGTATGTGTGTATTGATCTATACCACTTTATGCAGGGTACTTGAGTATCCATGAGTTTTAGTACCCATGGGGATCCTGAAACCAATCCCCTATAGATACTAAGGAATAACTGTAGTTAAATTTTGGAAGAGTCTAAGATTATATGTAGAATTTTTACTGCAAGGAATGGGTGGTTTGGACCCCCTAATCCTCACATTATTCAAGGGTAAACTGCATAAGAATGAGACAAGTGATGTAACTGCAGATTTTATAGATATTAAAAAAAGACATAAGGGAATATTATAATTTATGCATATCATAAAAGTGCATATCATAAATTGACAATTTAGATAAAATTTATATTATGTGATAAATTAAGATACCTTTAAATACATAAATGTGTATGTTTTCTATTGCAGTGAAATATGCATAACACAGAATTTACTATTTTGACAATTGTTATTTATTTGCTTTTCTTTTTTTTCAATCTTATTGCTGAGAATATTACACCTATTCCCCCCATTGCCCCCCTCCACCAGTTCCCACTCCACTCAGGCCTTCACCACCCCATTTTCTATTCATGGGCAATGCATATATGCATATAAATTCTTTGGTTAATCTCTTTCTGCCCCTCCTTCCCCTTCCCTCTGAGATCCCTCAGTCTGTTCCATGTTTCCATGCCTCTGGTTCTATTTTACTTGTCAGTTTATTTTGTTCATTAGATTCCACATATAAGTGAGATCATGTGATACTTGTCTTTCTCTGACTGGCTAATTTCACTTAGCATTATAATCTCCAGTTCCCTTCATGTTGTATTTGGATTGTTTTAAAATAAAATTTGATGCCATTTAGTACATTCATAATGTTGTGCAACTATAAAAGTACATGTTTTTTTATCCAATTATAAGATATGGTTGCAAATTTTTATGCATTTATGAATAATGCAGTCAGTGTATTTGGAAAAAGAAAAATCTAAAAGGATAAGATCTAGATGTAAACATTAGCCTTATACAGGGTGGGGCAAAAGTATGTTTACAGTCTGGCCCGGCCAGTGTGGCTCAGTGGTTGAGCATCAGTCCATGCACCAAGAGGTCGACGGTTCGATTCCTGGTCAGGGCATATGCCCAAGTTGTGGGCCAAATTCCCAGTGGGGGGCATGCAGGAGGCAGCCAATTAATGTTCTCTCTCATCAATGTTTTTATCTCTCTCCACCTCTTCCTTCCTCTCTCTCTAAAATCAGTAATAAATATTTCTTAATTTAAAAAAAGAATAAACTCTGTTTCACATACTCACAACTGTAAACCTATTTTGCCCCAGCTTGTATAATCACATCAACTTTTCTTTTTTTAATCCTCACCAGAGGACTTTTTTTTTTTTTTACTGCAACTGAGGGTCATGCCCTTAGCGGAACCAAACCCGGAACTCTCTGGTCCATGGACCAATGCTCTAACGACTGAGCCAAACCGTCTAGGATTCAACTTTTCCTTTCGATTCTGTGATTAAAATTTTTCAATAATAAAAAAGATTTTATTTTGTAATAAGGGATTACAATTTTCCAAATGCCTTACTAAATGTGAAAGTTTAAAAAAATGAACTATATAATTTAAATGAGGACAGTTGTCCTCCTGATCTATGTCAAATGCTGCTGCAACATCCTTGTATCTCCAAAGAGATAGTCCCCACTGAAGCCTGTTTTTCTTGTGTATTTACCAAACTTCATTACTCAGAAAATGAATTAACAATTTTTGATTGTAGGTCACCAAGGACCATTTATTGTTTTCACTGAGTGGCATTTTCTGCAAATTAAAGAAAAAGAATTATATTTGACATTATAAAAGCATTTCTCTCTGTCCTGGCAATTTAAAATATTATTTCTTACAGCAGTGGAGAGAGTTCTCAGCCTTTAATTTTTTTTGCAGTGATGGCTATTGTGAAAAAATCTTCGGAAGCTTATAATAGCACTAAGCCCACCACAAGCAAATCTGTCCAATTTGTCAGAAATGGGAAACAAAAGGAACTCTGTGCATTCTCAGACACACCAGTGAATGTGAAGACATAAATATCTTTACAAAAATATCATTTTAACATTGTAGTCTTAATATTGCTATGTTTAAACAGCCAACAGAAGTTCTGATTTACTAACAGAAGAGTAAGTATGATAAAGTTTGTCTCTTTGATTGAAATTCCCTTTGTAGGATCTAGATTATACTTTCCTCTGAAAAGAAAATGGATTTCTGTGATAGTTTATATATTCTTAATGTGTTTAAGCTATATTTATAAAATCCATTTTTGAGAATGAATATCCCTCGTGTAGATAAATGTCGTTGTCTGAGAGGTTTTATGCATAACATAAGTAAATCTATATCTTGCTTAATGTGAGAAATATTCAGAGTAGCTTTGGATATGCTATTCAACTTCAAATTAAAAATATTTTTGTATATATAGAAGTATACAAGCATGCCCTTAAATTCCTCTTCCTATCCCCAAAAAGAATAAACAGAAATCAGTTAGTTACATGTTCCTGTCAACCTGTTTATTAACTTCTATTATAAAATAAGTTGCAATATCATGGAGAAAACAGATATATTTTTAGCATTAAATAATGTTTAAAATCTGAAGGACTGAGTAAGATTTCACAGTGACACATATATCTGAGAGTGTAGAGAAAAGATGGAAGGGAGGTAGGAGGGCTAAATATTTGTGTGTATATATATCCTTTCTTCATCTCAATTTGATATAAATACTTGGTAATTGTTGAATGAGTGACTAAGTTTCCTAAAAGGATTCTGACTTTTGATTAAGCCATGATCCTCAATGATTGTTCTCTAAATAAGAAGCTTTGTGAACTGGGTAATCACTATAATTCTGTCCCAACCGCAATAACAGAACACAATAAGCTAAACAAAAAAGTGGATATTCTCATAAAATAAATAAACTACATACACAAGGGGAACATATGCTTTATTAATTGATGGGAGAAAACATCAATATTTGACATAATGATTGTATATTAAGAACACTTGAGTCCCTACTATGTGTAACATCAATGCAGATATTCATTGACTGGAAGATGAGGGAGGGAGGGGAAGAGAGCCATCACTTGTGTCAGCAGTAAAGGTAACACACACTGTCAGAAAAAAAGTGGAGTGTGTAACAGGATAGGGGGCAAACCACAGTCCTTAAGGTTGTTGATAAGAATTAAGGACAGTTAACCTCAAAACACACACAAAGACTTTAAGTTTTGCTCTAGTGTATAGTACCCAAGTTATATTAGCACATTTGAAAAGATTAAAAAACCAAGTGTTGAGAAAAGACAAGAAATCAAGGATGAAATTTTATGATTTTGTTTCTGAATAGAAAAAACTTCTTGATAGCCAAAAGACATTATTGCTACTCATAAAATTACACCTCCTCAGTAATCTCCTGTCGCATGGGAAAATCCTAAACAGCACAGGATAGACAATGAAATATACATATCTCTCTCTCTTTCTCTCTATCTCTCATTATATAATGAAATATAAACTTGAATATATTAAATTTTAGAACAATTAAAATAATCTATAGGAAAATTTCTCTGAATATCACATGCAGATTGGAAAGAAGTCAGAAGTCAGTGATGAGAAACGGTACAGTGACAACATTCGTTCTGCTGGGACTGACAGATGACCCTCAGCTGCAGGTTCTGATTTTTGTCTTTCTATTTCTCACCTACACACTGAGTGTAACTGGAAACCTGACCATCATCACACTCGCCTTTATGGATCCCCACCTTAAAACACCCATGTACTTCTTTTTACAAAATTTCTCCTTCTTGGAGATCTCATTCACATCGGCTTGCATTCCCAGATTCTTGTATAACATAGCAACAGATGACAAGGTCATTACCTATAATGCTTGTTTTACCCAAGGATTTTTTACTGATCTCTGTGCAGTAACAGAATTTTTTCTTCTGGCTGCCATGTCCTATGACCGCTATGTGGCCATCTGCAAGCCCCTACATTATGTGACCATCATGAGCAGCAGGGTCTGCCAGATTCTTATCATCTGTTGTTGGATGGCTGGTTTATGTATAATAATCCCACCATTTAGCCTGGCTTTAACTCTAAAATTTTGTGACTCTAACATGATTGATCATTTTATCTGTGATGCAGTTCCCTTAGTGAAAATCGCATGCTCAGACACATGGTTCATGGAACAGACGGTTATAATCTGTGCTGTGCTGACCCTGAATATGACTCTTACTTGTGTAGTTCTGTCATACGCTTACATTATCAAGACAATTGTGAGATTTCCTTCTGTTCAACAAAAGAAAAAGGCCTTTTCCACCTGTTCTTCCCACTTGATTGTGGTTTCCATCACCTATAGTACATGCATTTTCATCTACATGAATCCTACAGCAAAGGAAGCAGTGACCATTAATAAAGTGGTTTCACTGCTCATTACTTCTATTTCACCTACGTTGAACCCATTTATTTATACCTTGAGAAACAATCAAGTTAAGAAAGCCTTCAAGGATTCAATCAAAAGAATTGCTTTGCTCTCAACTAAGTAAAAGAAAATAATATTTTAAAACATCTCAAAAACAAGGATACATCTCATTTTGAAGCTTATAATCTTGTTTGTTTTTTAATAATAGATACTTGAGTAACATTACTTTTCTCCACATTTCTTCAACCTGGCTTCCATTAAGCCCTGCTCAAGCTAGTTTTGCATCTTCATTTTTTAACCCAATATTTGACGATTTTGCATGTCAATTTAATAAATATTCATTTGAATCTTAGTTGAAATCATTGCAAAGTTGTAAATAGAAGAATTATTCAACTGTTAGTAGAGCAATAGTTTATAAAATGATATGTGGATGCTCAGGAGATTATAGACTGGTGATGGGAATAGGAGATTGCATTGTGAACCACAAAGGTTTAAGTATAAAGTCTCAGGATTAGTAAAGCACTTGAAATGACTCAATAGCTGCACATTCAATGAAAGTTTGAAATTAGAAAATTGTGCTCATGTTCACAGAAGATCACAATTTTTTCTGAATTCTGCTGATGGAACTGAGTTGTGGGAAAAATATTCCCCAGTGTATTTAATAACCTGTGCTTACCTCCAACACAAATTAAGCTTTTATAGTCAAATTCTGTTATAATAATCTAAAATATTAAAATTAAAGAACTGGAAAATTTACACAAATATCATTCTTTGAAAAGTAAGGTATGTACATAAAATTAACTAATTGCTATCTGGAAATCAACTTAATACAGGCATCTCATCACAAGTTATTCGGAGCACCAAAAAGCCATAGTCAAAAGGAATTCTGGCCGTGGCCGGTTTGGCTCAGCGGTTGGAGCGTTGGCCTGCAGTCCAGAGAGACCCGAGTCCCTTTCCCGCTAAGGGCATATAGCTTGGTTGCAGTTTGTCCCCGGCCCTGGTTGGGTTGTGCGGGTGGCAACCACTCGATGTGCCCCTTTCATATCGATGTTTCTCTCTCTCTCTTCCTCTCTCTCTCCCACTCTATCTGAACAAAAAAAATGGAAAAATGTCCTCGAGTGAGGATTTATAAAAAAAAAGGAATTCTGTTTTCCTAAATGTAGTCATTTTTTACAAAAATGTAAACTAAAGGAGAGGAACTAATACTTATTCTAATAAATTTGAAAAAATAAAAAATAAACATGTAAATGGAAAATGTAAGTTATTATGGGTAGAAAATGACATCAATTATATAAGTTAAAGAAATTTAAAAGCCAGGTTTTTTAAAAGTCCAATCACATAAATAAAACTCACCCCAGTGAATATTATAAGTAGAAAACTAAAATGCTTGATATTTTATTGGAAGATCTTTGACATACAATAATAAGAAAAAGTATCAGGATACACATGGGAAAGAATGAATAAACTATTCTATTTTATTTTTAAGTCTTATTTTATTCATATTTTGCTGTTCTGAAATGGAGATTTGTCATACAATAGATGGCATATACTATTGTTATAGTGCAACTGGCAACATTGTCTTTTCATTAGTAATACATAGTTTAATTGTATGCCTTACAATTGACGATGTCTTAAAATTGATGAAATTTTGCATATCTTTATTTTTTATCCTGAGAACTTTTTTTCATATCCGAACACTCAAGAAACTCTAATAGGAAACAAGTGTAATTAAGGGAATTTGTCACTCTAACTGAAAAAAAAAAAAAAAGGAAAATATTTAAAAATCAGTAGACTGTAATAACAATAAGCAAGAAGAAATCAATCAAAAAATATTATTTTAGTCATAATAGTCATAAAATCTAATTACCAAAAGAATAAATTTAACATGAAAGTGCAGTGTACATATAAAGAAAGTATATATATTAAAAGAATACAATATATGATTAGAACAAAGAGGGGCAGTTAATATCCTTGGTGGAAAAATTTATTATGAGCAGGTATATGTGTATGCATAGATTATCTATGTATGGTACAAATATTTATTTATTTATTTATTTATTTATAGTCACTAAGCATGTAGAATAGTAAAGAAAGACAAATTTTAACGCAGGTTATCTGAAGCAGAAACTAAGAGATACAATCAGAAAAGATGAATAGAATAAGACAAAGCTAAAAATCAAGCATTATTCACAGTGAACAAGACACGGAAACAACCATAGTGCCCTTCAATAGATGATTGGATAAAGATGTTGTAGTACATATATACAATGTGAAGGTTTGGAGATATATTTCTCTTTTCTTTTTCAAATAGATTTCCATATACAAAATGAGAGCATATCAAATGTCTGTTACCAAGTGAAAAAGAAATATGTTACACTTTATTTTGTTAACACTAGTTCAGTATAAATAAATTAAAAATTCAAAAAGGTAATCATCTTTGAATGTATAAATGTTACACATTATACAGTGGAATATTATTCAGCATAAAAATAAGAACACTATGCCATTTGCAACAACATGGATGGATCTTGAGATATCATGCTAAGTGAAATAAGTCAGGCCGAAAAAGTTAAGAACCATATTATTTAATTCATATGTGAAATGTAAAACTGGAAGAGATTTTAATTTTGTGTAGGGAGCAAACATGTAATGTACAGATGATGTATCATAGAATTCTACACTTGAAACCTATATGTATAATCATATTAACACCATTTAATTTACTTTAAAAAACAACATTCTGAGAGTGAAATTCATAGCACTACACGGCTACCTCAAGAAACAAGAAAAATTTGTATGAGTACTCTACATATTTTGGAAATTAACCCCTTATCTGATATATCATTGGCAATTATGCTCTCCCATACAGTGGGTTGCTTTCCATTTTGATGATTGTATCTTTTGCTTTGCAGAAGCTTTTGAGTTTGATGTAGTCCCATGTGTTCATTTTCTCCTTTGTTTCTATTGCCATAGGTGATGTATCAATGAAAATTCTGCTCCGTATGATGTCCGAAATTTTGCTGCCTACATTTTCTTCTAGGATTTTTATGGATTCATGAGTCACATTTAAGTCTTTTATCCATTTTGAGTTTATTCTTGTGTATGGTGTAAACTGATGGCCTAGTTTCATTTTTCTGCATGTAGCTGTCCAATTTTCCCAACACCATTTATTAAAGAGGCTGTCTTTACTCCATTGTATGCTCTTGCCTCCTTTGTCGAATATTAATTGAGCAAAGTCTTGGGTCCATTTTTGGGTTCTCTTTTCTGTTACACTGGTCTATATGCCTGTTCTTGTGCCAGTACTAGGCTGTTTTGATTACAGTAGCTTTGTAGTATAACCTGATATCCAATACTGTGATCCCACCTACTTTGTCCTTCCTTTTCAAATTTGCTGTGGCTATTCAGGGTCTTTTTTTGTTCCATATGAACTATTGAAGTATTTGTTTTAGTTCTGTCCTTGGTATTTTAATGTGGATTGCATTGAATCTATAGATTGCTTTGGGTAATATGGACACTTTAATGATGTTAATTTTTCCAATCCATGAATAAGGTATGTGCTTCCACTATTTTATATCTTCCTCTACTTCTTTTTTCAATGTCCTATAGTTTTCTACAAATAGGTCCTTTATTTCTTTGGTTAAGTTTATTCTTAGATATCTTAAGTTTTTTTGCCGCAATGTTAAATGGGATTGTTTTTTTAGTTTCTCTTTCTGTGACATCATCATTGGTGTATAAGAAGGCCATTGGTTTCTTCTCATTAATTTTGTATCCTGCTACTTTGCCAAATTCATTTATTAAGTCTAGTAGATTTTTGATGGAGTCTTTAGGGTTTTCTATGTATAATATCATGTTATCTGCAAATAATGACAGTTTCACTTCCTCCTTTCCAATTTGGATCCCTTTTACTTTTTCTTCATGTCGGATTGTTGTAGCTAAGATTTCCAGTACTATGTTAAATAAGAGTGGTGAAAGTGGGCATCCCTGTCTTGTTCCTGTTCTTAAGAAAAATCCTTTTAGATTTTGCCCATTGAGTATGATGTTGGCTGTAGGTCTTTCATGTGCGGCCTTTATTATGTCAAGATATGATCCCTCTATTCCCAATTTGCTGAGCATTTTTATCAGAAATGAGTGCTGGATATTGTTGAATGCTTTTTCAGCATCTATTGATATGATCTTGTGGTTTTTATTCTTCATTTTGTTTATGTGGTGTATCACATTTATTAATTTGCAAATATTGTACTACCCTTGCATCCCTGAGATGAATCCCACTTAGTCATGATGAATAATATTTTTGATGTGTTGCTGCATGCGATTTGCTAGTTGTTCAGGATTTTGGCGTCTATGTTCATCAGGGATATTGGCCTGTAGTTTTCTTTCTTTGTAGTGTCTTTTTCTGGTTTTGGAATTAGAATTATGCTGGCCTCATAAAACGAGTTTGAAAGTCTTCCTTCTTCTTGAATTTCTTGAAATAGTTTGAGGAGAATGGTTATTAGTTCTTCTTTGAATGTTCAGTAAAATTCCCCCGTGAAGCCATTCGGGCCTAGGCTTTTGTTTCCTGGGAGAGTCTTGATTACATCTTCAATTTCTTTTGTTGTTATTTGTCTGTTCAAGTTTTCTATCTCTTCCCAGTTCAGTTTGGGGAGACTGTGTTTCTAGAAATTTGTCCATTTCTCTTAGATTGTCGAATTTGTTGCCATATAATTGTACATAGTAGTTGTTAACGATCTTTTGTATTTCCGTGGTGTTGGTTGTTACTTCTCCTCTTTCATTTCTTATTTTGTGTATTTGGGTTCTCTCTCTTTGTTTCTTGGTGAGTCTAGCTAAGGGTCCATCAATCTTGTTTATCTTTTCGAAAAACCAGGTCTTTGTTTCATTGATCCTTAAATTTTTTTTTTTTTTGGTCTCCATGTCATTTATTTCTGCTCTGATCTTTACTATTTCTTTTCTTCTACTTGCTCCGGGGTTTGCTTTTGCTTTGCTTTCTAGTTCTTTAAGTTGTAAGTTTAGATAGTCTATGAGAAATTTTTCTTGCTTCTTGAGGTAGGCCTGTAGTGCTATGAACTTCCCAATCAGAACTGCTTTTGCTGCATCCCATAGATTTTGTGTTGTTGTGTGTTCATTTTC